CTGGGAGATGCAGCCCCTCAGAGCCCACCCTGTGCCCACACCCTGCTTCCCCACAGTGCTCCAGAACCCCCTCCAGCCAGCTCAGCACCCTCTCAGCCTCCTGCTTACAAGGCCAGGGCAGCATTTTCTGATTTCCATTAAAAATTCTTCAGCTCATAAAGAAAAACCGGCAGGTTGTTCTGGGCTGCACCAGGACAGCATCAGAGCACCCAGCCAGGGCTGACTCACAACTCTCTTGAACTCCTCTTCGGTGAAGCCCATGTATTCCTTGACCAGGCCATAATCCTTGTCAATGGTGGAGTTAAAGATGAGGGGGTCATCCGTGTTTAGAGAATAGTTGGCACGATCCTTCTTAAATCTGTAAGAAAATGGGGTTGAAGTGGTGGGTAAAGCACTGGATGTGACGCTGTGCAGTTCTCAGGGTGAAACGCAGTAAAAGCAAAGACCTCGGGGCTGTCCCTGAAGCTGGAACTGCTGGAGACAGACATGGAGTGTGGCTTCTGTCCCCACAGCTCTGCACTGACCTGCCAGTAGAGGCTGGGGTGCAGCACCTCATGCCCCACAGCTCAGAGCAGGAAGGACAGGACAGCCAACCCAAGGGACCCCTGCACCCCTCCAGCTGCACCAGCTCCCCCCGTGCCAAAGGACAAGGATGTGCCACATTGTCCTACATAATTAGATGGGTCTTAGCTTTTTAAAGCAGTAAAGCAAACCAAATCCTGGTTATTTAAGATTGCATATAATTGAGAAGTCTTACTGTATTACGGGGTGTTTGGTGAAGTCCGGAGAACATGCTCCAGTGAGATAACTGGACCAAGGGCAGACCTGTTTGGGGGAGTTAAGCATGAAAAGCAGAATCGAGCATGCAGATCTTAACCCCAGGTGTGGACACAGATAGCTCAGCACACTGGTAAAGCCAGGTATAGGCTTAGAGCTTTGTTCACAGCTGCCCCTCAGTGCTATTCTGATGGACCAGTGCACGTCCCAGGACACAGATGCAAAGAGCCCACAACCCACATGACAGCAGCAGGAGTCAGTGGGATGTTTCCCATGGCCAGTCAGTCACCAGCGATGTGCCAACCACAGTTAGGAAACCAATTAAGTATATACACACATATTCCATCTATTAGCTGGATATGACCATTCTGGGGAAAAGCCAAGGAAATCTGCACATGCACAGTAACTCCATTTCCACCCTCTAACCAGACTTGCTCTGGTACAGCAGCCTGATTTGTGGAAGGAGGAGCCTGTAGACTTGAGGTATATAAACTAGTGAATAATCCCTCCAGAATTTATCCTCGGCCACGCCAGAATCCATTCTTTCTGCTACGAGCCTCCCACAAGCTGCTGTGTGCACTGCTGCTCCTTGCAACAGGTTCCAGCAAACAGACAGGTGTTCCCACCATTTCTGCTGTGGAGCTTTGAGCATCTGAGTTCAGTGCAATGTTACCATACATGTGGTCAGCACTCGGGTGTCAGGTCGTGCCCCTGGCTGTAGCACAGCCCAAACAAGGGCTGGTTTTCCACTCAGACAGCAGCTGTCATGCTCCCACCACACATCCTTACCTCAAAATGCATCTTTGTTCTCAGCAGCTCCTTGTAGAGCTCAGGGTCCTCCAGGACATGGTATCCATGGCCAATGCGCTCGGCCTTCAGGACATAAACTGCCTAAAAGGAGCACAGGAGAACCACTCACAGCCTCTGAGCACCAGCTCGGCTCCTGCCTGCCCTGAGACCCCTGTCCCACCTCTGGGACAGCCCCACCACTGACCCTGCTCTAGGATGGCCCTTTCCAGCCACTGTGCCATGTCCCCAGTGTTTGCTGTGCTGTGGCTACAGAGAGGGCTGGCACACCTCTCTCCCTGGTGCAGGGGATGCAGGGCCGTTCTCAGCCCTGCCCCTCTCTCTGCCCTGACTCGGGAACTCCTCGTACCTCTTTGACCATGGCAGCAGGTCCGACCTCCCCAGCATGGACAGTGCGGTGAATCCCACATCTCTCAGCTTCCTGCAAAACAAGGGAGAACATCTTCCTGTCCCATCACCCGCAGCGAGGGCAGCAAACCCCTGGGATGGCACAGCAAGCAACAGGGCTCTGTGCCAAGAGCCCACAGGTCACAGGCTCCGCACTCCAAGGGCTGCAAGAGAAGAGCCACAAATTGAGACACTGAGAAATCCTGGTACCTTCTGCTGGAGCCCAGCCAGGCTCCTCAAGGGCTTTTTTGGGTGAGCTCATCACTGCCTCTTCTCCAGACAGCAGCAAGCTCCAAGCTCCCCTTCCTCCACCCACCTGTCCTTCTGCATGAACCTTGCAGCAGTTCCAGCCTGTGGAACTTCTACCTTTTTGGCCAGCTGCAGCCAGGTGGGGGAATTTAGAAGACCCCCCCAGGGCAGAGATGAAGAAATGCTCTGACACTGAGCACCTCCCTCCTGTAAGGGGCTGGGGTGGAGGCAGCCCAGCCGAGAGGACCCTGTGGGTGCAGCTTTTGGTGCAGCTCCATGACCAACCCGAAAAATCCTTTGCCAGGGTGGCCCAGAGGCCACCTGGGTTTTGGGAAGCCATGCAGCCTCGAGGGAAGCCTGGCTGCTGGAGAAGGGCCACCCATCTGGCAGCAGCAGGCAGGCTGCAAGCCCCATCCCGCAGCAGCCGCTCCTCACAGACAGTCCTTCAGGGCTCTGCACTCAGGAGGGATTTTCAGTTACTTAATACAGATGAGAGTGGGGTTTGCTTCAGCATCTCAGAGCCTGAGCGAGCCCCTGGCACAGAGACAAGATGCACCCTTCAGATGGAGAAGGCTGGACCTGGGTACTGCTGGCACAGCAGGGAGGATAAGACACATCTGCCCATCTGTTCATAAAACCCTGTGCCTGCATCTGGGTTTATAATCACTCTGTTCACCCAGCACAGCAGTGCAGGCAGACTTTGTATCAGCTCCCACTGATGGGGTGAAGGCCCCAGGAAGCCCCACGTGCTTTCAGACCTAAGCACTGCTTACAAACCACTGTCTTTTTTGCCAGTGGTGGTGCACAACCTCCTCCCCCACTGATGGAGGGGACTAACAACCCCAAATTCCCACTAGCAAAGAGGAACAAGACTTTCCCTTAGAACCTTTGCAAACGCTGAGGTCTAGTAAGAGTCTGGGATCAGGCTCCCGAAGCTATTACAGTGTTTGTATTTGAGATGATCAGATAAAAAACCCCTTCAAATGTGCAGCCTCCTCTCAGCTCCTCGGGTGATTTCTGGCAGACTGGAAAGGCCAGTCTCTTCCACCCTTGGCCATGGTTCCACTGAGCCCCAGGGGCTGACAGCAGCGGGGTGGGGGATGATCTGGGCTCCACGTCAGTTGTGTCACGTTCAGTGCTACAGAGTAGTGTGCCAAGCCCCAGCTCCAAGACCATGTTTAAGCAGTGATGCCTGCCTTTAATAATTTAGGAAATATAAACAAACATTTCTGTTTTTAATAGCTGCAACACATTTCTAAGTTGTCCCAGCCGTCTGCAGCTGGAAAAACGTGCTGCTTGTCCCTTCACACACATCCCCTCAATACGTATTTTTCTTGTAATTTCTTTTAAGAAGCTTAATTCCACAAACCTCATAAGCCTTCTTATGCTCAGAGTCAATCTCCACCTTTAGGGTCTCTGAAGGTTCACCTTCAGCCAGGTCAATGGCCACCACAGAGTCATTTCGATACTTCTTGCACAGCTCCACCACCTCTGGAGACCAGCCTGGAAGAGACAGCACCAGTATTTAGGAGGAAGCATTTTAATGAATAAATCCTGTTCCTATGACTAGAAGGCTAGGGCTATTTTCTTTAGTCTTTCCTAAAATTTGATGCTCCTAAAAGAAACTCCTAGAAAAGTCTGTCATCTTCAGGCAAATAAAAGCTGTCAACTGATCAGTCTGTCATCAAGGAAAGGGAAACCAAATGCATTCACCAGCTATAAAACTGCTCTTATCATGTTCTTCTGTTCACTTTGAGCAAGGGGAAAAAATAATTAAAAAATCCCCTCCAACCAGTGGTTGACTGCTGCAGTTGGCTTGAGGTAAGATGAACTGCATTGCCCTGAGGCTGTAACATGGTGCTTTGGAGAACTCCCTCAACTCACTCCTGAGCTTTCACCCCATCCCAGGCCGGGCATCTGTTGGATGTGTCGTGTTAAGGAGGAGTTTGGGCTAAGAGGGATCTCTGGGGTCCCTGTATAACAGTCAGCCATGCCCTGTTCTAGGGCATCCTCGACTTCCCCGGGGCAAGACGATGGATTCTACTTCTGGTGGGAAGGAGCTGAACTTTTATCTATTTGACATCAGAGAGAAAGAGAGTAACAAGTGGCTGACAATTACTTCAGAGCTCTCTCTGATCAGGACAGATAACGTCTGCTAAAGGAGGTTCATCTACCAGCTCACATAGCACTTAACCTTAGCAGAAAGGCCAAGAAACAGAGATAAACAGTAGTGTTAATAATTAACAGGCACCTGCTGTGTACATACAATCCCCAAACCATAGGAACACATAAGAGGATGTGTGCAATTTCATCTTCTTTTTGTTTTCATCAGTTCCCAACTCACTGGGTTAGAGCCACTATTTTACTACCAAGTTTAATTCAAGCTAGTTCTGGCTGGCATCTCTGCCTTTCTCTCAACATTCATTATTCACAGGGTAATTAATATCACAGGTGATATGCTGTGCAGCATATCCTGAACGTAGCACTAAAGACTCTTTACCAAGCACATTACTGGCTCTGGGTAACAGAGCTGGTGCCCTGGGATACAGGTATGAGAATGCCAACTCTGTTGCCTGCACAAGCAATCCCTCCTGCCACCTCCTGCCTCCTGCCATTACCACTCGTGTGCTGGCACACTGCAGATCAGGGTGACTGTGCCTTACAGCTTTCCAGTTTCTACAAAGAAAAGTGTTTTCTTCCCAGAAACCAGAAATGACAGGGTCAAGTTTTCAAAGTACTGTTTGCAGTTGGCTGTGCAGGTAGGAAAAAAACCACTCTCCAATCTCCTAGTTTCCAAGAATATAATTTTTCACATTTCTAGACACAAATTAACCATGTACTCATTAGGAAAAATCTTTCCACCATCTACCCTATTAAGCCTATATGAAACTGATGTGAGATATGAAGATACTCAGAGAAAAGTCTTCACATAAAACAGCTGCTGTCACACACTTTCTCTCTGACTGCTTTCTTCCCTGGAGGAAGGTCCTCACAGAACTCAGCAGCCCATTGAAATGCTGGAAATCAGGTTTCCTTCCTATTCTGGGTCACAGCACCAGTTACTGACCAAGTTCAGAGCTGCTGATTTTTTAAAAAACATTTTATGTATGTGCCTTAAGTATATTTGACTTGTGTTTTCATCTTAAGCCAGCAGAGACTGACTGCAGCCAGTGGATTCTCTGGCTGCCCCGTGATCCAGGCTAAGGAAGGAGCACATGCTGCTGTAGCAGCAGCACCATGAGCAGGGAGGTGTGAGATCTCAGTCCTCCTTCCATGACCATTTGCTCTCAGATCCACCAGACAGCACGGTAGATGCAAGTGCTCCTTGTGCCAATGGCTTTGACTGGCCCAAGGGGTGCTCTGGCCTTTGGGCAGGGAGCAGAGATCACAGCTGCCCAGGGCAGGGAGCAGAGATCACAGCTCCCCAGGCAGAGGACAGACGAGCAAGATGTTTCACATACTGGTTATACCCACAGACCCCCCCTCTCTCATCCAGCAGACCTTTTTCCCACAGTGAAGGGAGCAGAGGACCCCCAGCAAGAAAGAACTCCTCCTCAGCACTGTCTGGTCCTGCATCAGACCCAGGGACCAGGGCTTTCCCCACATTTGTGCAGGGACCTGAACCCAGGGGACATCACCCCCCGCCACGCGCCAGGGAAGGGGAGCAGGGCAGCAGGGGAGCTGCAATTCATTACTTGGCATATGGTGCATGCAGCATAGAATAGACCTGGCTTTGATGTGGAAATCCCTTTCTCCATCCTGTAGTCCCTGATTTACGAGCTGAACGACTTCATCTGGAGTGAGGTCTCCCCTGCAGGGAAGAAAAGCCATCAGCAAGAGGGCAGACACCAGCCAGGGAGGCAGGTAGGAGACAGGCTGCCCAGGGCTCCACTCGCCTCAACATCCAGAGGCACCCGATGAGACCACCCAGAACTTACGAGCACCTTTTACACCCATGCCATGCCCACATTTACCAGATGTCGGGCACAGAAGCAC